GCAATGAATAATAAACGTGAATGAATGACGTGACAAAAAAATACTATTTGTCTCAACAAATTTGCTCTAAACACCAATTTTCGCTTTATAAAGGAAGCACTAATCGTTTAAGTTGGTGGAGCCGCAAATTGCGCTGGCTTTTTTCCTTTCTTTTTCATTTCTGGTAATTATCTTGTAGTACTGGTACAAACACTTCCATTTAAATGAATAATGCAAAGTTGATCATCTGGCTATTCAAAGGACACGAAGAACATCAACGTCATAGAGGTCGGTCGCCTTTCACGGTATACGTGCCTAATCCCTAAATGTCGCGACGCATCAGAATTTCTTCCAATCTGGTGCTCTGACAACATCGAGAGGTTTGCTTCGTGCCTTCGTTTATTTTTACAAATTTGCGTCGTGTGATCGGAACACGAACGCAGTGTACATATGTCCGATTTGTCCCAACATATTGAACTATCCACGAGCATCATTTGTCAACTACTGCTGGGTGCAAATGTCCTTCTAATTCCTCTCATTCACAAACTTACTAGGTTCCGGCGACATTTTTTAAAGGTCATGCTATTGTAAATACCTTGTTAGTTATTTCTTGACTTCATTCTCTGTTTTTTTCTTCTTCTCATTTCTAAAAACGCAGTTTCACATTGTGATCTTGAAATTACCAAGAGGCCTATTCTCAGCTCTAAACGCATGTATTTCCCACGGATTTCCAATTTTAGTAATGAATATCACGAAGTTGTCGATTTCAAACGCAACGGATTAGAACCACCACTTAACAGCAAGATCGAGAGGACTTTCAGGTTTCATGACTTAATGTGAGCCGCTTTCCTCTAACTGTTCGTTTTCGGAAATTACGAAGTAAGATAGTTGGATAAAGCTTACTCGCTCATCCATTGGGTAACATACTTGTTTTAATAACCACTATTTTGTAGGCAGTTTCTGAATTCTCAAATGAGGAGAAATTGCTCGCGAAAAAACCGCCCAGCTTTTCTGGATGTGGCTCAATAGTTTAGAGTCATTCAATGGTCAAGCCTGGGGTGAAACATAGGTTTGAACCGACCGTAGGTTAAAAAAGATGTGTTGATTACTCACGACAAGTTTAAGTGAAAATTGGTTTAGTTAAATATTATTACACTGTGTGCTAGCTATTCTAACTCCTACTGCTACAAGATGGCCCCTTGAAAAACAAATTGTTATCAACGGATAATCGTAATTAACAGCAACTATCCTCTATAAAATAGCGCTGCTGCGTAGGATTGCCTCATCTGAGCGGTGCTCCACTGAAGAACATTCGACTCGATACAACTACGAGAACCTACAATGAGAGGACAAATGAAGACCAAAATGTCCAAATGGTCGCCAAGTAAAAGCTGCCTGTGCACCACTCGTAAGCTTAACAATTCAAAGAAATTTGTAGGGTTTACAGCTTTCTAAAACCTCATGATTTCTCGCCATTTTGAAGGACCGTGATCAACTCCCGCTCTTTGAATTGCCCTCGACTTCAGTAAAATTCAAGTGACATAACAGTGTATAATAGAAGCAAGATAAGCACCGCCTTCCAGCAATAGAATTCTGAGCCACGCCCATAACGGTTAGGATTAGCGCATTTACACGTCATAGGCAAGGCTTAGATTGCACAGTTAAGCACATTATCATTATCACGCATGCTTAATGCAATTTGTTTTGCTATTAATTCGTTGATATTTGCTCTAGTCATGTACGCCACACCCGTTATAGAAATTTTTCGACTGGTTTTTAACTTCGTTTTTCAAAGCAATTTTGAACTTTTGAACCGTTCATTTAACTAAAAAATTTAAAGGAGCTCATCAAATTTTGTCACACAATAAAGTTCTCTTTTTTTTGTTTCATTTTTTCCATGTTTCTACAAGTTTTTATAAATACGTTACTCAACGCAATGGACAGCCTCCGCAATATCCGACACTGGACTGGCCGCCTCGTCCCGGGAATAGTACATGTTCGCTTTGTTTCGTTCTACAAGGTTTCCTTGAATCAATGCCAATTTGGGGTTAATCACTTGCGCAGGTAGAGTATATAACCGTTGCGTGTAGTTTTATTTGAGTTTAGTCTTTATGACTTTTTTGGAAAATGGAAATCAATCTCGCACAATTGTGAATAATTTTGAGTGTGATAGAGAGGTACGCGAATTGTGGAGAATTCTATAAACATTTGTTCTGGAAAAAATTCTCTCCAGTGCTCCTGCACTAGTTCGCTCTAGGAAATAGCGTTCGTTCATCATTCTAGTCGTTTTGGTACACTTTTGCTTATTTACTACTCCATTGTCTGAATTACTCGTCTGTGCTCCTTCTTCCTTTTCTTTTTAAATTCCGCTCTTTTTCCTTTTACTTGTCACCGAAATTTCTTTTACTTTTCTCTCCCACCAAACAATGACTCATGAGAAATGAAGGGTTGTATAAGCAGAATGTACATCCTCGAGTTTTCTGTCGTTTAACTTCACGCTATTTCATTCTTCAATCGACCTCATTTTTGTCTTCATCGTCAAAATAAGCGTTTTTTGCATATTTTGCGAGGGATCTTTTCTTGAGAAAATCGTTTGCTTCTCTAAAACTATAATGGAAATTAATATAAGCAAGCATTATTACTGCTATCTAACAATATTTGACCATTTATTTAGAAAGAAGGGTTATGTCAAAATTTCATTGACTAGGGAACAGCTTCGATATGGCCTATCCGCAAAGTTTTGCAAATTTTTGGCAGACCAATGCTGTAATGCTAACTATCTTCGCTTCCTTTCCTATTCAAAAACCTTTCTTTTTGTTAATTACCTTGTTTCGTATTCCAGATGATTCAACAACTTTTAAGGACTTGTTCAATTTTGGTGAGATTTTTATCAATGTTTTCAACAACCTCCTTTTCTAGTTAGATATGTGATTTCAGGTAGCACACACTATTATTCTAGCTGAAATAATAGATAACGGATTAATGGGTGAGTTCCGTTTTTCACTATTTTGCCAACTTCTTGAAAAGTTCACCTAACAGGACTGTTATGCCGTACTTTTTTGAAAATGACTGACAAGGTCTTCCCGCCTTGAGTTACGTCGTTCATCGAAAAATAGCCCCTGAGAAGTAGAGTGACCTTGGTAGTAGTGACGCTGACATGCGAGAAAAAGAATTTCTGAACCTTTTTCTTCAATGAGAAGTCTGGAACTGCTAATCGTTTGACTGGAAAATCGCTTTCTTTCATCCTGAAGGTCTCTCATGCTGACGAAATCGTTAATTTGACCGGAAAACTGTATGGCTATATGACGATTTCGCATGCAATGTCCAAGAGGGAAATCTTTGTCTTGCTACACCACCCATGCATGTAACCTGTTTTTCGAACATCACTTGTGAAAACACCTAAGTATATCACTAGCACTGATTTTTTTGAGTGATAGTACGTTTAGGTGAACCAGTCATAGAATGTGGTAGTGAAGACCTAAGTGTACGACTTACAACTCGATCTCCATTTGAAGGACATATTTACGTCAAAGGACGCTACTGGTAACTAGTCGAAACTTCTCAGTTTAATGCTTTAACGAAAATAGAAAACTTTCCTTCAGTACGTCACTGATATCGGCTGGAAAAGAAAACAGGATAAAATAGGGGTTACCGTTTTATCTTTTGAGCAAATTCATTTCGAAGGAATTACACGACTATTTTGGATCTGTATGTAATACCGGAAAAAATCTCGTAATGTAGTACGGTCGCTTGCCATAATTTTTCCTAAAATTGCTCGTGTTTTTCTAAGGTCTTGTTCCGTTTCCTAGATTATTTCTGTTTAAATGGTAATGCGCCGATTGAAGGACAAGCGACTGCCGTTCGGATGCGTCGCTTCAAAACACAGCCAATTTAACGATTTCTTTTGCAAATTGTGATGTACTACGACAACGATCGGCAAGTTTATTTTCTTGGATTCTTCAGTGCGACATTTTAGTTTATAATTTTGTTGAACTATTTTTTAGTCCTGTGCAGCGTGGCATGAACTCTCCCATCAATTCACATCTTTTGGCCGTAACAGCCAACATTTTAAAGGAAATCTGTGAATCAAAGTTGAAAAATGCCTTTAACACCTTCAGTTATCGTTCAGTATTTCGCTAGAAAAATAGAAAAAAATTCATGACACATGTGTACGTCACCAAATGAAAATGAGAAAACTTGTTACCTTCTTGATACTCCATTTTCTTGAGAAAATCAATAAAATTTTGACGGATGTGATTTTCTTTTGACAGTCACTTCAGTCGATTAGCGACCTGAAGATTGTGTGTAACTAAATAATGCTTTTATAGGTACACTTCCTTTTTCTAAATATGTCTTTGAAGTTACACGTTTCTTTTTTGTTGAGGATCACGCCATCTTCATAAAATACGCAAGCTTTGCTCATTTTCCTAAGTAGCGTATCTCCGGTGTTTTTTTTTAATAAGGTGAAACGTTGCTCTATAGGGATTTAGGCAGAAGACTTTGTGATAACATGAGATAACGAAGTTATTAGCGATTACAATTTCTAATTTTTGTTTTCAATAAATGTTCATTATTATCGCAGACATCATCAACCATGCATGTTTCAAGGCTGACCTTTGTTATAAAACACGTAGTAGCAGTGAAGCATCTATACGGTTGTCAAGATTGTCGACTTCTCTTTAATATAAGAGAATAAAAGATTTTACTCATAATTGAACCTCTGAAAAAAGCGGAATTCACTGGCTTATGGCGCAGAATGCGCACATGCCATTACAAGAGGTCAAGAGACACTTGAACGTTCGAGTAGAACATTGTATTTTCTTTGAGTATGGTATAGAAAGGAAACTGATGTAGGAAGTTCACGACATCATAAAACAAATCAGTTGAAGAATTTTTTCATTTCAGAATCACCCAAAAGGACTGATATTAACGACGACGATTATAATATCGTTTCACCCGGTATGATAGACATTTGTGAACACGGAAAGTGGGCTATTAATCAAACTGGTGCCATATTCTAGATGTTTGTGACGAAAATCGACAAATCTTATAAAGTGCAGTGCTTCTACGCAGAGACGGTGAGAACGGTAACGCAGAATTTGAACGTCAGGTATTGAACTAGATTACTCGAATCGCATTTCCATTAAGTTTGTCGTAGTAAAATTTGACAGACAAAGTCCTATTCTCCATCAAATTTCGCAAATCCGTTTTCACAGTGCTGGTGTAATATAAATTAGTCTAGAAAAGCGCTCCCAAGAAAACATGAAAGCTTTCAAATTTTACCTTCAAGGTGTCTCTTTGGCTCTTGTTTTATTTTGTATGACAATAGTTTCAACATAGACAACAGGCCCCACTGCAATTACAATTTATTCTTTTCCCAGTCATTGTGTTAGAAATCAAAACTGGAAGCTATTGTCTGAAAAAATCATGCTAGAAATGCAGCTTCTAAGCCAATAATCCTACTGCCAAGTTAACTTGTCCTTGCAACAGTAATTGCTACTGACGAACGGAGAGAGTTCACTCGAGCTTTCTGCGCTCACTCGACTGTTAGAAAGATGTACTTAATACAAGACCTAAATGTGTTTGAAATTTTTTTTTGAACATTTAGTAAATATCTTCAGTTAACTAGGCAGTGAAATAGACGAACATTGTGGAGAACGCATTAAATACGACCGCGAAGCCGTATAAATTTTCAACTATTGTTGGATAAAGCTACAACGATGCTGAGATATTTATATGTTTCTATGAATCGTCCTTACTGAGCTGATACGAGGTTGGTAAAAGTTGTCGTTGTTATTGTTACTGTTTTTTGTTGATTGACGTTTCGGCGATTTTGCCTTTCTCGGAGCTGTGCTGCTGCGAGCGGAACGGCGCTGAGGAGGGGAAATCGCCCATCAAACAACAACAACGACGATAGCAACAATAACAACAATAACGGAAACTTTGACCAACCTCGTATCAGCCTAATAAAGGCGGTTAGTAGAAGCACATAAATAAACTCATCCATTATTTATGCCACGTTTAGAAAATCTGTTTTTTGAATTCCTACAAAATGCTGCGATATTTAAGAAAGGTGGATTTCGGGCCAAATTCGAACTCACTATCACCCTTTTCGAGGTCTCCCGCGTTGCTCACTGCGCCATGAGGCCCATGCTTTGTCTTCCCTTCAGCCAGTTTCTTACTCTAACGACGCCATCAGCAATCACTCGAATCTAGTTGTGGGTCCAAGTCTGTCTTGCAAATATGTCAGCATTATTGTGGTTGTATTTCACGTAACACCGTAGCGAGAAGAAATAATATGCAGTAAATGCAGAGTTAAATATTGTCGGATATAATTTTAAGAAACCGCATCCTTTCATGTCTAGCACAAGATCATCTTAGTCAAGCCAAGCTTATTATCAAATAGCCTCATCAATTAAAAATACAGTCTCCATTCATTTCTGTAGAGCGTTACAACTACTCATCTCCGCTCAATCAAATTTCATGAAGGGTACTATTCCCTTGAAGAAGGAAAACTTATTTTTGCTAGTTTTGGCTAAAACAGTTTATAAGTGTTAGCAGTGTTTCTTAGTGTAAAATTTTAGCCTTATAAGCTTATGAACAAAAACGTTAAGTTGTTTATCGCCTTAGGTGACTCTATATGGGCTTAGGTTCCTGTGTGCATCGCGGTTCAACATCCAGTTACAAATCCACTACTATGTAATGAAAAACCGGAATTTGGGGAATCATCAGTCGAAATCAAAAATCTTAATCAACGCCAGATGTTAAATGATCAAATGAAGAATAGAAAACAAATCAAAAACCAATATTTAAATCATTGTGAGAACTAAGTCTAAGAATATTAAGAATGATGAAGATTAAATTTTTCAGTGAACGAAAAGAGATGCAAAAGAATGTTTTGGTAATAATTGGGGATGAGGAAGCTGCTACGGCGAGAAGACCATCCAGCGTTTTTTACGAGTAGGATAGCTCTTCCACCTAGGGTCAATTGACCGGCAAATTTCGCTTAAATACCAGTTTAATGCAAGAAGTATTTGATTTTCAGCGACACCCAGAAACTTGCAGAAGACACCTTAACTTCGAATGCTCCTCTTCCAGAATGTAGGTACCAGGTAAATCTTCCAATTTCACTTCCAAGTTCTTCGTCTCAAAATGTGATAGTGTTCCCTCAGTTACAAATATGCTGCCGTGAGTAGAATTTGATGAAGTTTTCCTTCTCTCACTGCAATCTTTTAACGCATTTTAGACCAGCAGTATTTAATTTCACCTAACTGTTGATTAAGTAGAAGGGCATAGCTAGTATTTTCACATCTATGATCACATAATATTAAGCGTAGACATCGATCTCACTGTGATTTTCTCATGGAGTCGCGAATGCAGAATTATTAGTACTCGTTTCTTTTTAAGAGTACGGATACGAAATTCCAGGCTTTGGCTGAGAGGATCCAAAGCATATAGCTTTTCTTTCAATGGCATTAGCAGAAAATAATATCTTGCTTATATTTACCCTAAAGCTTTAAAAGTTTACTTAATCTTTCCGTCATATGGTACAAGACGAGAGAGTGCATACAAAGAGATAGAGAATACAAACTTGCTTTCGAGGTGAAGGTTCAAAAAACTACTAGGAAAGAGCAGTAATTGTTACAAACGTTAGGAAAACGTCGCTCGAATTGAGTGTAATCTTTTTAGTTTTAGTACGTTTCACAGCACTCTGTTGTTCATATGCTTCCTTATTACAGTTTCCCTCAGTTAGAAAAATTGAAGATGGAAAGGGTTTGCGAACATGAAAAAAATGAATGAAAAAACACAGCTAATTGCTTAAGTGCAGTCCTAAGTCACGGCAAGGCGCCACGAAAGTAATAGTAGTTTCTCCTGCATGAGCTCTACCTCAAAACGTTTCAAGTAGTACGTAGCATCCTCATTATTCTTATTTATAGTTGCATTATTGCTTAACCTGGAGAAGTTATTGTGCAATTTTATGTCTGCCTTGGTAGTAGATTTTGCTTGTGCCTTCTTTGAGCAGCTCAACCTACGGACCAAAAATGGCCTTGACGAAGTATCGATGGTGAGCCCAGTGTGGATATTTTTAGGTGCTTGACGGTGGAAAGGGCGGAAGCCCACTGACATTTGCATCAGTGGGGCAAGTAGTATATCATGAGTGGACGTGTGACCCAGAAGGAAAACTCTCAGGTTTCGCTTTAAATTCGAAAATGACATTGAAACTGGGAGATGTGCTATCTAAAGTATAGTTTGTTTGTAAATGAGTACGCAAAATCTAACCATACTTCATTGCAGAGGATTCCCCATTTTGTGCGACAGTTCATTCGTGCAATGTTAAAGAGGATGGTGGCCGTGAAGTGCTACTACTTGATGAAAACGGATGCGCCGTTGATAGGTCTTTAACGAGTTTCGTTATGAAATCGTTCGACGACAATTATTCATTCCCTCCTCATTGCTTTAACTGCTTGCTGCCTTTCATGCCAGCAGTGGCTCTAAACGACATGTTAAAAATATTCTAGGAAAAAGTCGAAACCTTTCAAAATCCTCGGTACCGCAGGGTGCACACTACTTTCGAAATAGCTTCTAGCATCATTGCATATATCCAAAAATGCGTCGCTCTAACGTATCCATATTTTAAGGAAAGTTCTATTTAAAACGAATATCTGGAGCTTTTAAAGTGGTTTTGTACAATTCTTAACGAGATCAAATGGAGTGGCATCACTGACGTTTTCGAAATCTTCTTTGTGAATTCTTCATGGTCGTTGCAGTCTTGATGGGAAACCAGAAAGCCGAGCTAATTAATCAGAGTTATTTAACACATTCGAGACCACGTCACTTCTATAGGTGTCAATTGCAATAGAACATTATGACTGGTATAGGCCGTATAGAGAGCTTTGTGTTTCTGACACTCGATTTTGGGATAAAGAGCTCTTTTCCTACATTTTTTTTCAGCATTCCTACACTTCACTCGAGAGCCTGTTCAGCGTAGATATTTTGGCGGGCGAGGGTTGAGGATCGAGCTATATTCCGTACCTAGAAATGCACAAACACCTTTCTTCAAATGATTCACCGATCGCTATTATGACTGTCAAGTGACTGTTATTACAGTTCTTGTCACTGTGATGAAGCAAGTGATCGTATAGAATTGGAAGGGAGATAAGAATACGGAAATAGGCTCAAAGTAGGATACAAAAACTTCCAAATGCTAGTATTAATTAGTGCTATGTAGTAAATAGATACTAAATAGTAAATAAATATTATTCATAACCATAGAGCGGTAGAGAGAAGAGCCTTCTATGGTGATGTCACCTTCACAGCTTCTCAAGTCTTCTGATCGAAATACTACCGTCTATTTCCGAAGAAACACGAAATTGAATCTCGTCGAATGTTACGGCGAATGTGTTACGCTAAATTTCGTAATCACAGTCGTAATTCAGATCTCATATTCACAGCCTCTTTACTGTTTGCTTTAGCAGTACACACAGAATTCATCTTGTTTTCTATTTACTACTCCATATGGGCCTCGTGAAAAGTGATCACGTGGAGTCATGTCTACGACGATATTTAGCGAACTTGCTATTTTTCTCTGAAAAAGTCCATCCACCTGTACTGTCTTTGCAGGTACCTTCTCAATAACCTAGACTATACTTCCGATCTTACAGGCGGTCAAATCTCACAGGTTAGCGCCTCATTGGACATGTAGCTCATCTTTTCAAAAATTATCAGTGTAAAAGCGCACCGAGAGCGATTAAGGTGTTCAAATTTGCTGATCAACACTCGCTGTTTTTCCAGTGTCAGATTCGCCTCAGTTTGAAAGAAGGACTAGTTTGCCGGGTAAGAATATATTCAAAATTTGAATGTTTTTTTAAAGGAAACCATCTAAAACATTTAGCGGTCATCGGATGATTGCCCAAAAGTTCTTCGCGGTAAACGCTCAGCAGAAAGCGATAATCATGAGGACAACGTTGATGTTGTATCGCAGTACATGACCATTTTCGACATCGATGATCTCGGCGGTAGATCTTGGCTTCGACATTTTGCTTACATGTTATGTACAACCTAATTTCAGAAAAAATGTCGGGAATATCAGCAGCTCTACCTTCTAGTCAACAGCTCCGTAATGGAGAAATATGCATTTCACAACTAGCCGCTGGATCTCTGTTGTCTCTCTTAGCATCATCAATATTGATCTGTATACTTTCCATCGCATTTGCCACTTACTGGAAGGTTTCTAGCGATGTAAAACACGGAGACTAAAACTGCTTTGCTGACTATGTTCTTTCTTGTCTGTAGACTTCCGCGACTTTGTCGTTGTCGTTTGTACGGATATTACGACTTTGCCTTCAAATAGCATAATACATGTAGTGCCTACATGTACATATAGTCTACCGATTAACCACTGATGGATTTCGTTTATATCCACAAGAACCAGATCGCTTGACATATTTTTCGCATACCTGCTTTCCTCACTGTTCGACTTCCACCAGTTGATGAAATTACACATCTACTTTCATAGCTTTTACGTCTACGCGTTTTCACGTTGTAAACATGTGTTAAAACTTTTGACTTCATGTGCTAATATGCATGAGTTATATGTATTGCTATATTTCAGTAAATCAAACAGCTTTAGGTCATCTGTTGAACCCTGCGAAACCCATATTCTCTACTTGTTGGACAGCTGGGCATGAAATATTGCTTCGGACTTAGAAGCAATTTAATAATAGACCGATCATTGCGTTTCGCATTTAAAAAAAGCATAGAATGCACCCGAAAATATATTTTCTCTCATAATCTAGTGCGTTGGGACATTTTGTGTCAATGTCAAATTCGCCACCAGTTCCGATGGTTCGCGTTTTTACATGGCCGATCGATCCGCTACCGCTGAAGGGAACACGAAAAGCGCTATCTTGGGAACCAAACTAGACGTCATTGATTCTCTTTTCGAAAATTGATGTCTTTCGATATGACAATTTAACTGTTTCACTAATGCATTAGATTCATCAAGAAAGCCTTTCATTCCGCACATAATGAAAAGCAGGACCTTGTTCGAGCGCCGTCGTGGTCTTGTGACGAAAACTAATTGTTAACATGGATTCAGCTTTGCTCAGCAATCATGTTAGATTGTTTATTCTTTACTTAGGTAACCCAAGAGTAGCTAGAGAGTTTTTTTTTTAGGAACTCTGCTTTGATCGTATTTATTCTCTTATAACTTATGATATTAGATCAATATATAACGAAGCTAGGCTCCACGTTATGACCTGCTAATTTGGCTGAATCAGTGAACTCTTAATTAGTATCAAGTATCAAGGCAGATTGTCCAAGTGTGGTTAATGAAAAGGCTATAATCAAGCCTGAATTTCGACTTGACTTATTGGGATGCCTGTTGATGACGTCAAATTCAAAATTAAGTGAACAGAATCATCTAACTTGGGTTGGGGTACACTGGATCACGTCATATGTTACTAGTTGGACGCTCTTGACTTATTAAAACTTTGAATTCATCGAGAAAATAATCCATAGAACAATGTCCTTTGTAGTGTTTGTTCAAATTCGCAGCTATAAAAGGAATATTCATCAGATTTTTAATCTTTTCTTTTTTCCGTATTTTTGTTGAGCAAACGCGAGGTGTTATTATTCTTTATTCACGAACAAGCTGACGTTTCGGCGGATTTCGCCTTCCTCAGAGCCTGGAAAGGTCAAGTTGACAGCAATCTATCCAGCCAAACACCTCCATAACCAAACAAAGAAAGCGCTAAACCAAGATTTCAATCACGTTGAACACAGCTTTGCACACTCACCGCTTTCTATGTGGCTTCCACTGAATATGTCGCGTGAAGACCAAGCGCACAGAGTTCACATTCGCGTTTACTCAACAAGAATACGAAGGATTACGAAGAAATTAATGCCGAGGTTGTTTCTATCCTCTCAGACAAATCTGGTACCAATTTTTTGACCCCGTAAGGGGTGCTTGTTTTGGTGTTTGTCGTGGTTGTTTTGGGGAACTAGTCTTCTTTATTAATGCAATTTAGCGACCAAAATCGAACCAATTCTGCTTGGAACACTTTCTTAAACTGTTGAACTACCATCGCTTTGCTAGAAGCCTTTATCCGGCTGACGACTTGTTGTCTTCGTCTTCTTCAGGATTTCGATGTTCAGGGTCGAATGTGCACTACTGTTAATTCTTGCGACGTGGATCCTCGTGCCCTCAATGAATTGAAACTTCTAGAATGGAAAGCTTCTATAATTTTTACAAAACTGTGCTACGGCTCTAGCAAAGCCTCAACCACAGGTGGCTGTCAGTTTTCTTGTGGAGGGAGTTTTTTCTAGACAAATCTAATATCAAGTATGTGTATTATTGCATGAACTCAAGAGTGTTTTTCAATGTCGCGCTATGTAACTGCCATTGAACCCCTCGATCTGCTTCGTACAACCTCGATTGTGTTGTAAAGGCTGTATCCATCATGAATGCTAATCGACATCAATATTTTGTTGAGATCTTGCAGAGCGATGCAAAAAAAAGTTTTTGGTGGATTGTGATGATATTGCTTCCGAAATTTTACAGCATTCAGTCCTTTGCTTAAGATTCAGTGCCTTGGACAACACGAACTCCGTAAGATTTTGTAGCGGTTAATTCATATACATTCTAAGCCTTGTTCATTTATTTTTCCTCGGTAGATCTTCGTATAATTTTTTTAAAAAGCTTTTCCAAGTGTTAGTGTTTTCCTATGCTAAAGTTCATCTAGCTCGCCTATAATGCTTCGACCTTTTTCTTCCGTAGTTTGATGTTGAGAGGTTCTCTCTTAGAGTGGACATTGAGCCTATTTGTTTGAAGCATCTTTTAATCACCTCCGACTTTTCTGTAGTTCGATAGCAGACTTTTGGCCAAATTTACTCGTTCGATACAATTTGCACACAGGCTATCGCGCCAACGCACGCCTAAGGTGAGTATAGCTACAAAAATGTTTTAGGTTTATGTCAAGTCGGCGCGCAACAGGGGAGGAACTCCACCCGTAGCTCCACACATATCTCAGGGAGGTTTACTTTTGGCTATTTGTACACCACCTGGAGGCGCACCATGTAGCAACAACAAGGAGATAGGTTTCTCTATGTCTATTATGACTTGTGATGATTTAGTCAAACTCCCTTCTATTTCACAAATTTCGTCTGCTATGAACTGTATTCTACGCTGTAGAAAAACAGAACTCGAGGAGTTCCGCATAAATTTTCCATCTAAAAGAGGGGAAATGCATGCGCTTTCACACATTTGTAATAATCCTGCTTTTATTCTTCTGCTGACAATTTTTCTGTAAGTAGAGTACTTGAAAACTTGATGACATTACATACCTATTAAACTGACTTTGTCCTAGGGTTCCAAAGATACACACGGTCGTCCCACAATGAATTTTTGCCTTAAAGCAATTTAAATGAAATGTAGACAGCTAAAAATATCCCCTATAAATTTAGGGACATCCAAGTCCTATTGGACGAAATCATTCTTGTCCAATTGCTCGCCTATTTGACATTCGGTTTCCAAAAATTCGGAAATTTATCGTCAAAGAATAGGAATATTTCGGATGCTGTTTACTTCAATCAACAAGATTTCCAGCTAATTTCGGCCTTGCTAAAGCTTTAAGGTCTTTTGTACCTCCACTTGCATTGTTTAAATTCTATAATAATCACATCGCTGGAAGTCTGTTGAAGTATTTCGTTTTAGAAATCCGTGGTTATTATCATCATTTGCTTATACTAGAGGTTAGAAGACGTTTTTCTTTCCATCATTTTCACTAATTTCAAGCAGTCGATACTTATCATATGAGGAATTCGATTCGGTCAATTGTGGGAGAAGGATGTGTGACCATAGCTGGAAAGTAGACTAAACGGCTAATCATAAGAGGCTACGCATCTGCATTCCGAGACAGTTGGATTCAGGGAATGGGCACTTCGTTCTGCGGCACCAAATTACTTCACATCTTCAATTCGTTTTCGTAGCAAGGAAAATTAGTTTATGGTAATGGTGAGGAAGTTTAGAAAATGACTGACAATTTTATGGTCACACCGAGCTGTTGAAATTTGAGGGAGCTATAGCTGCGACCGCACTAGCTCTCAGAAAGAGTGATGGCGTGTTTGATCCCCACTACGGACACCTGCAGTCTGGAACTCTGGAAATATCTCAGCTTCATTGTCATTGCATTCGACCCAATGTTACATCTGCAAGACTGTCCATGAAGAGGAACTCCTCCTTAAGCGATAACACATTGCCCTGAAATTCCACAGAGCGGCAGAAAAACATCTTCTTGAGCAAGGCAATAAATCTTAGGCAGACAGCAGAGTAGCGCAAAACTTTAGAAACTATATCACAACGCAATAACAACTGGCTTAGTAAATGGTTTAGCTGAATCGTGAAAAAACATTGTTGTTGATCAACACTTATGACAGAAACGGTATGAATGTGTCGTTTTCTTGTTCAGCAATCGCGAGGTTTTTAAACAGCATACATTTACTTCCATAAAAACACAATACAATACAACGCTAGCTGACGTTTCGGCAGTATCGCTTTCTTCAGAGCCGCTTTTTCGTGACTTGCGTCAACCACATGCGACTATAACCAGCTGTTCTAAACTTCCTCATTGGAAGTCACGAAAAAGCGGCTCTGAAGAAGGCGATACTGCCGAAACGTCAGCTAGCGTTGCATTGTATTGTGCTTTTATGGAAGTAAATGTATGCTGTTTAAAAACCTCGCGATTGCTGAACAAGAAAACGACACATTCATATTCCAATGCCGAGGTTAAGAGAAAGTCGATCCTGGGAACTATTACAAGAAACGGTATGTTCATAACAATCACTGTGGCACTGTGGAGGTCGGAATTTTCAATATTACCGAGATCTGGCTTTTCTTAGAAATACTATCGAGCTGATGTGCAAGGCTGTGCATAGGAGAGACAAAAAATGTGAATGACGGAAGAGCAGCAGCCTTGACTGCAGTGACAGAGATAAGCGATGTCAACGTCAACAAAAGCTTGTTCAGTGAGAAATCCGATATTACCGCCTTAAAGTACTCAACTGGAACAGTTTTTGCGCTCTGAAAACCATTTCGATCAGAGTCAGAATGGTTGGATGTGTCATTTCAGCAGTGAACTTTCGTGAGGCTAGACATATTCAGTGGTGTAGTAAGATAATCCATCAGCTAAATCTAAGTGAAACAACGTTTATGGGGAAAGAATTAGCTTCTATTTTTTATTTCCACTCAATGAATTGAA